GGTTAATTGGATTTAATGCAATGCATTATGTGCAATATTTTTTAAACATGGTACAATTATTTCTTTTTTTGTCTGTTTCAACTCATCAAATCTAAAAGAGCTGTAGCATCATGATGTGTTTTGTGTATTGTGAGAATGACTTTAAAAGGGAATTTCACAGATTTTTCACAAATGATTTGAAGTAAAGTGCTCAGTTCCAGAGAAACATATCGACTTTACAGTTGTGGTGATAAGAACCAGATGTCTGAAGAGTTTAATGCCTTTAAATGCTCCCTCACAGAAAGTTATTCAATGAAGTGCTTAAGAATACATTATTTGATGCCTCAGATATTGTTTTAGGCTGCTATGTATTTTGTAAAATTAATTAATGGCAGAGAGGTACATACAGGGTGTTGTGAGGCAAAATAGTACCCAGAAGAAAATGTAGTTTTTCAGATTCAGCCCTGTTTTACCATCAATAATATTACATATAAAAACTCAGAAGACATGTGTAGGTTCACTGGTAAAATCATATGCCTATATTTGTGTTTTAGTCATTGTGAGGCCTGGTTTCTATCACCACCACTGTAAAGAAATCTGAGTCAGCAAGTTCTTCTATACTCATTCCACATCAAACCACTCTGAGTGACTCCTAAGCATTGAACTATATGAAAAATTGTTATTATATGATATGCTTCATGATATTTAGTTTTCTGAGGTTTGACAAGCTGGAACAGATACAAAGCACCTGCAGCACCATATTTTAAAGAATACCATCAAAACGATAAATACAATGTTTATTATTTCTATACTGCATGGCACTAAATGCAATTGAACAGGATTAATTATGCTCTCCTTGTAATGAAACATACAGTTTGTAAGTTGTAAGTACTGACCATATCTGCACACTGACATAACGTGACACAATTTATCACAACAAAGATAAATATATTGTATTTAACAAGTTTAGAAAGTATTTTTATGTATTATATCATTGTCACTTAACACAGTCCGTCACTGCATCGAGAAACGCAACTTGAAACTATTATGCATAGAGAAAGACATACATCAGCTCTATTTAGAAACACCGCCGAGTTCTCTGGGCCCAAGCTCTACTCATATGGACCAAAATGGAAGTGGAAATATGTGCTGTGGTCAGCTGAGTCCACCTTCATTTTTTAGGAAAAACAGACACTGAGTTCTCTGTGCCAAAGAGGAAAGGGACCATTGAGACTTTCATCAGCGAAAGGCACCAAGAGCTAGCATCTGTCATGGTATGGGGGTGCATCAGTGCCCACAGCATGCGTGACTTGCATATGTGTGAAGGTATCATTGTATAGTGGGATATGTATCAAGCAAAACTGGGCAAAAATTCCACTTGCACAACTGCAACAATTGTCCTCAATTCCCAAATATTAAAAAGGGTAATTAAAAAGAAATGTAGCATGAAATGAGGAGAACAGTAGTAAAAAATGATGTAGCACAGTAGTAAACATGCCTCTGTCCTGACTTCTGTTGAGTGTGTTGCAGGCATCAAATTCTAAATGTGTTTATATTTACAAAATTAAGCTGGTCAGTGAAAACATTGGAAATCTTTTCTTTGTTCATTTGACAGTTAAATAAAGGTTCATGAGATTTAACAAATCACAGATTCTTATTTTTAATGCACTTCACAAAATGTCCCAACTCTCTGGAAATGGGGTTTGTATATCATGTGCAGTGTGATGTATAGCCTCCATTTACATCCTCATATCATTTTTCTTTCTTTCTTTCTATGAATGAATTCTTTGTTTATATATTATATATTTTTGAGTACATACTTGTATACTGTATTTGCGCACTGCTCTCAACACGACTACTCAAGCGCTACTCTGGAACAACTTACTTCATCTTTGGGGGTCAATAAAGTTTGTGTTATGTCAAATGCGATTTCCACACCAGCTCTCCCAGACGAAAATAACATTATCTGTATGTTAATTTGATCTATTGGGCATATGTGGAGCTATTTTGACTTATTCACCACTTTGCTAGTGTAATGTAAACAGAATAAAAGGCCCGTGGTGCAAAATGCTGGTAGATCTCAGAGAAGCTTACACATGCCAAAAGCTGCAGCTACAACCGATGATAAACACTCCAACACTACACTACAGAGTAATGTTTGAACATCTTACAGACTGAAAAACTAGCTTGTCTTCTTTTTTCACAGCGTCACCACAGAGCGAGAATCAAAAATGTGTTTTGTGCTTATTTTCTCGTGAGTATTCAGCTGAACTCTCACCACATTTTTTGTTATATCACTTTAAAAGGACGTGCACAGTCAAGGCTGAAGAAAACGAAAACGCCAAACTTCCTCCGTGTGAATCATCTCTCAAAAGAATCATCCTCTGTCAAAGCAGCAATTCAGTGTCCAAAGTTTGCTTCTTTAGTTTTTTCATTGGAGCTGCGAGGCTAAAGTAGCTAACAGGTAATGGAAGCTTATACCCCACCAAATAGCATCACGCAAACTACAGGCCTAAATCATTACACACGCACCTCAAACTGTGTCAATCTGTCAAAAGAGAATTCAAGATTTCTGCATAATTAAATGGATGAGATGTAAACAAAGTTATTCCGAGTGGTTTGATGTGAAAACATCTGTTCTGGAGAGTCAGAACTGTTCATAGTGGTGGTTATAGGAACCAAAAAACATATTTTTTTAAATGCAGTTCAAGACGGATGGGTACATGTAGGACGTTATAAGGCAAAATAGTCCCACAAAAACGTATTTTTTCAAATTTACCACAGCATTACATATACAAGCTCAGAAGACGTATATGTTATCTGTGTTATCTGGATGTTCTGGATAGCAAATAAAATGGCTATATTTGTGAACCCCTGGTTCCCATCACCACCACTGTAAAGAAATCTGTAGGTTTTTCTGCAATGAACTATTTTACATCCAAACCACTCACACACACACACACACACACACACACACACACACATTATCTAAACCGCTTATCCTTCTCAGTCGCAGTGGGGCACTGGAGCCTATCCCTGGACAGGTCGCCAGTCCATCGCAGGGCAGACAGACAGACATACACATTCACACACACACACTCACACCTAGGGGCACTTTAGCATGTCCAATTGGCCTGACTGCATGTCTTTGGACTGTGGGAGGAAACCGGAGAACCCGGAGGAAACCCACGCAGACACGGGGAGAGCATACAATCAAACCACTCTGAATGACTTATTTATTCAGAAATTTTGAAAAATTGGTGGATTTTCCCTTTAAAGGGCCTCTATTAAATTAAGTGTGAGATAAGATATAAATAAAAGTTATAACATCTTCAAAATGCATTGTTCACTCCCCAGTCTATACGCTCCATATCAGGTAATAAAGATGTAAAAACAGTCCGTTTTGAATTTGTTGTTTTTGTCATGTCATTAAAAACCAACACAGTTCTGCATGTATCCGCATATTTAGCCTACAGCAAATTGAAGGTACATTTAAGCCCAGAATGCTTTCTGAATGAGGAACAATACAGCGCAGCCAGTCGGAACAGAGGTCATTTACATATATCAGTCATAAGGGCACAGTAACATAAAGAGCCTGTTTAATTCTAATGGATAAAGAGATGTTAAAAAGTGGCCACATGAAAATGAATTATGACTGTTTTTTGGTACATAAATCCACACAAATGTTATAAGTGGACCTCAGGGCAAATGTAATCTATGGGCCAATCTCAACTAGACTCGCTTACGCATTTTCTGACACACTGGTGTCTATAAACATGGACAGAAGCACATCACATAGCTAAAAACAGTAGCAGCAGCTTTACGTCCTGAAGCATGCCTGGGCTGATTGACTATATTCAGAGTAAGGGGGAAACTGCTTTCAGCTAAATGCTGGACTGTCCTGCAGAATGACTGCGGGCAGTAAATTTGGGGCAGCCGCTGAGCAGCTGTTCCTGATAGAGCTATAACAGTGTCAGGGTAAGACCTTCAGCTTTTTCACACCAGCTCCAAACTTCACAAACTTCACCTGCTGCCTCTACTCTCTTAAAGGGCCCATATCATGTAATACAGGATTTTCCTCAGCCGCTTTTAATAAAAGAGTTTGGTGTAGAAGATGCAAAACATGCAAAAAGCATTATGTTTGTGATGCCACAAAAAGCAACACCTTTACATATAGCTGCCTTTTGAGTTTAAAGCAGCTTAGCTCTGCCTATTCGCATTAAAGCTATAAATAGTGTACTTTTTTAATGAGGTATAACATCCAAAAGCCAATCAGAACAGAGTTTATTAATGTATATGAGTTTTAAAGAGGTACATATTTATATATATATATATATATATATATATATATATATACAGATAGATATAGATATAGATATATAGATATATGTATAGATATATATGTGTGTGTGTGTGTGTATATATACACCGATCAAAATACAAAATACGAACAAAATACACTGCACTTTATATCAGCCACCGACGTTTGAAAAGTAGAATCACTTAAGACATCTAGCAAGTGAGCTGTGTGACCGACGAACTATAAAACACATAGAAGCCACCCTCAAAATGCATTAAAAATGCTACTACATATATTTTGTTAATATTACTATCAAAACCTTTTTACACTATATGATAATCCCAGCTGGTCCTCTAATCGTGTGAGCACTTCATGGCAAATCAATTAGAAATAAAATCTTATTACATTAATGCACATTGAAGTTCTCTCCTACAAAGTTACCACTTTGGAGATGCATAAATTTATTATGACAGCAACGATGTACACATACCTATCGCTGTTGTCGGAAGCAAACCTTGTATCTCCATTTTTGTCGTTTTTCAGTTTTTGACATAATTTGAAAATGCCTGTTACCCTTTACATTGTGTGTAAGTTTCATGATGAATGGACTAAAAGAAACGGCCCAAAATGACTTTGAAAAAAGTCTGGTTCCATTGACTTACATTAAAAGTAAAGTAGGTTTTTTCCTTCTCCTGTAAAGTTACCATTTTGGAGATACGAAGCTTTCTTCAGACAACAGCGACGTACAAGTATATAAATAGATCTTTATGCCAGCGGCCTTTGGCGTTTGCATTTTGATTCAGCCTATATGAAGCTTCTAAGGAGAACATGCTTCTGAAGATCTCACCGAGCCCTCCGATGCCTCTGGTTTCTCAACATTTCTGCATAATTCAGTGGGTGAGATGTAAACAAAGTCATTCAGAGTGGTTTGATGTGAAATAATTCATTATAGAGAAGCTTGCTCTCTCAGATGTCTTTACAGTGGTGGTGATAGGAACCAGAGGTCTGTGTTTTAGATGTTTTTTTTTTGTGGACTCTTTTGCCTTACAACACCCTGCATGTACCTCTAAACCATAAACTGATTTTAAAAATATGTTTTTGACCAAAACCTTCTATCATAACATGTATTAGACGTCAGGCAGCTTTCTGTAAGGCAACGTGTAGAAGCACTAAACTCTTCAGACGTCTGGTTCCTATCACCACCACTGTGAACAATTTTGGCTGGAGAAGTGTCTTCAGAATGGAGCCTTTCACACCAAACCACTCCGAATGACTTTATGTGTACATCTTATCCATGTTACAGTGTAAAATAGGTGCTGTCCATAAAATGACACTGTTAAAATGACTGATTGAAATGTGGCACTCACCCTCCTCGGTGTCCTCGCTGACGGAGGACCTGCTGGACTGTCCCAGACCCATGGTGTGTGTTTGAGCGTGTGTGAGTAGTGCGTCCGGATCAGAATGGAAATGGAAACATCCCCGACAGCGGCGTAATTGAGCACCTACAGCGGCCTGGATTCAGCGATACAGTGGAGAAAACCTGCAGGAGTGCAGAGAAGAGGAGTCAGACAGAGGGAATAAAGCCAAATCCCACCCATTGATCCCCTATTTATGATGTCAGCACTCATCAGCAGCCAAGCCTTTCAGCTGTTTAAAGCATCTTTGGGCCAAAAGAGCTTCACCATGTGCTTTTAACAGCAGTTTGGAAAAGAAAACTGTCACTATTTACCTGCTTTTCACACCAAGGAAGACACTTTGATAAACATACAGAAGATGAGTGTTGAAGCTAATTTCTTACATAATTTAAAAGTAACCAAGAAAATTCAAATTTGGAGACAAAGCAGACCGATAAACCACGCTAAATAAACATGTAACAGTAACAGACAAGCGTAAAACAGGCATGAGCCCAGCTCAACTGGATTTAAACCAGTATTTAACAGTTATAGACAAATATAAATGAGGCTAAATTCATAAATATGCACAAGACAGGTTTAAACCAGGCTGAACTTGGTTTAAATCAGTATATAAGAGTCATGAATGAGCACAAAACAAGTTTAAACCAGGCTAAACTGGTAGAAACTAGTACATAAGAGTCACAAACAAGCACAAGACAGGTTTAAACCAGGCTAAACAAGGGATACACTAGTATATAAGGGTCATAAACAAGCACAAGACAGGTTTAAACCAGGCTAAGCAAGGGATACACTAGTATATAAGGGTCATAAACAAGCACAAGACAGGTTTAAACCAGGCTAAACAAGGGATAAACTAATATATAAGTCACAAACAAGCACAAGACATGTTTAAACCAGGCTAAACTAAGGATAAACTAGTATATAAGAGTCATAAACAAGCACAAAACAAGTTTAAACCAGGCTAAACTGGTAGAAACTAGTATGTAAGAGACAGAAACAAGAACAAAACAAGCTTAAATTGACTAAACTGGGTATAAACTAGTATTTAACAGTTACAGACATTAACAATACATAATTTTAGGAAAACATTTGAAATCTTTGTATCTTTTTAATTAAGCCTTTATTGAAAATACAACTTTAGTATTTATTTAATGTTTCATTTTATTTAATTTCTTTTTTGAATCATTTTTTGATGTATTTTTCTGCTTTTATTTCTCAGTTTTACAGTTTGATTTGAAGCACTTTGAGCTGCTTTGTGTAGGAAACACGTTCTATAAATGAAGCTGTATAACTTTATATCTGTATAACTATTAAATCAATCAAGTCATCTTAGACTATCATGAGCTGGGCACAAACAGACATAAATTAGGCATAAATGAATAAACGGGCATGAACTAGGCTAAAGTGAGTATAAAGCAGTAAATAACAGTTACAGACAAACATATAACAGGCTTAAATCTGACTACATAAAATATAAAGAAACATAAACAGGCATGAACCAGGCTATACATTTGAAAATGACGATTAATATATCAGTTATAAACATACAAACATCCAAATAAATCTATCAAGTTAAACCAAAAAACTGAACATAAACAGATATGCATCGAGCATAAACAGGCACAAACCAGGCTAAACTTAGCATGAGTATATATGTTATAAATAAGCAAGAACAGGCAAAACCCAGACTAAAGCAGTCTAAAATAGTTATAAAGAAGCATAAACCAGGCTAAACTGGGTATACACTAGTACATAAGAGTCATAAACAAGCACAAGACAAGTTTAAACCAGGCTAAACTGGGTATAAACCAGTATATAACAGTTATAAAATGTATAAATGAGGCTAACCTTAGAAACAAGCACAAGACAGGTTTAAACCAGGCCAATTTGGATATAAACCAGTATATATTGGTCATAAACATGCACAAGACAGGTTTAAACCAAGCCAAATTTCGTATAAACCAGTATATATTGGTCATAAACATGGACAAGACAGGTTTAAACCAGACTAAACTGGGTATAAACAGTTACACATACATAAACAGTACATAATTTTAAGAAATCTTTGTATATTTTAAATTAAGCATTTATTGAAAATACGACTGTATTTATTTTATTTAGCATTTTATTTTATTTATTTTCTCTTTCTGATCATTCTTAATTTTATTTTTCTGTTAAAGCAGCAAAATAGTTATGTTGAAGCATAAACGAGGGTAAACTGGGTATAAACTAATACATAACAATTACAACCTAGTATAACTCACACATAAATCAGACTGAATCAAATGAACAGGTGCAAGCCAAACTAGCACAGTCTAAATTAGTTATAAAGAAGCATAAACAGGCTAAACTGGGTATAGACTAGTACATAACTGTTATAAAGATGCATAAGCCAGACATAAATCAGCCATTCTAAAACAGTTATGCATAAAACAGGCATAAACCATGAGGAATATAATAACCCAGACGTATAAGTTATGAACAAACATAAATCATGCACAAACCTGACATGCATGAATGAGGCGAGAGCGGACTGAACCAGACTGAAATGACCACGGGCGTTCACAGACAGACAGAGCGCGGGCTGAACCGGACACTGGCGCGTGTACAGCAGGCTGACCAGGACAACTCCACAGCAAAGTGGCCCGAACCGCATTGCTGTCAGAGCAGAGCCATGTGGACTCTCTCTTCTCTTTCTCTCTCTCCCTCTCTCTCTCTCTCTCTCTCTCTCTCTCTCTCTCTCTCTCACCTTACATTCATCAACGACGATCAGTCTGTCTTCAGATGAGTCCAGCATCTATCGCAGGCAGCGCTGTGTGATCAGGACACCTGCCGTGCGTGTGCGTGTGCGTGTGTGTGTGTGTGAGTTCTCGGGATTTGGAGTGGGTTTTTGTCCGGAATGACCGCAGCCACGAAAAAAGCCCCAATACATCTCCAAACAGGTGGATCAGAAACAGAGGAGGAGGGAGAGAGAGAGAGAGAGAGCGAGAGAGAGAGAGAGAGAGAGAGAGAGAGAGAGAGCAGTGGGGGATCACGAAGCTGAGGTTGCTTCTCATTCTCCGGCTTCTTATACGAATTCTCCGTTCCACCTTAAATGCTGCACAGGCTGTATTCCGGCGCCTGACGCGCCAGACTGTAATTGCTGCACCATTTAAGGTGGACCGGAGAATTCGACTAAGAAGCCAACTTCAGCCTCGCGGAGGGAGCTGCGGCTGCTTAAATCTCCTCGTTGAGCAGTCAGGTGGTGGTGGGCTTCACCTGTAACGCTCTCTGCGTCGCTGTAGAGATGATATTCAGCTCAACAGATGTGGTTTGAATAAACCGTAGGAGCCACGCGGAGCTGCATTAATACGTGCACGAGTTGCATTAAAGGACCAGTGCATTTTTTAGATCGAGTTTTAGAACGAGTTCAGGATTTTTGTGGCATTTGGGTTCCTAAGCTAGAATAAGGAGCCAAAATAGCTTGATTACACGTCACATGTGCAATTACAGTAAGTTTCTCGAGTGCTGGTTCTCCAAATTGCTGCACTTTTCATATTTCCTAGGCTACTGCAGGAGGTCGCTTCAGGGAAATATTACATGTTGCTGTTTTTCAGCTAAATATGTCTTTTTAAAGCCAACAGTGTGAACAGATTATTAATTACAGCAGCGTCAAACTGTTTGCTACGGAGCCCTGCTGGTGACATACCATATAAATAAAAATAATGCATGGCCACGACTTAGTAAGGCATGGGAAAGAGATAATTAAGTAGTGGCCATGACTTAGTAACGTGTGTTAATGACATAGTTAAGCCTTGACCACAGCTTAATAAGGCATGATCTCACTCCCACACCTAACTAAGTCGTGGCCACACATTAGGATCTCGTTCCCTCGCATTACTAAGTTGTGGCCACACTGTATTAACGCGAGAGAACGAGATCCTAATGTGTGGGCCCAACTTAGTAACGCGAGGAAACGAGATCCTAATGTGTTATTTGTATTTATACAGGATGCATAAATAAACACCAGCAGGGCTCTGTAGTTTGTGTGGTTTTATGTACCAAAAACAGTCCTAATTCTCTCTCATGGATCTCTTTTAGAATTAAACTGGATGTTTTTGTTACTGTGCCTTTAAGACTGGTGTATGTAAATGGGCTCTGTTCTGATTGGCTGTCCTGTATGGTGGCTCATTTAAAAAAGCAGTCCGGGCTCAAACACTCCTTATAACTTTAGTATGAGTGGGCGGAGCTAAATTGCTGTAGGCTGAATAGGGGAATAGATGTAAATGGGTTTTTATGACATCACAAAAACAAAGCATTTATTTTAATTTAAAATTAATTTAGTTTTGCACCTTATTTACATCTACAGACTGTGAGCTGGAGGGTGAATGGTGTGTTTTGAAGTTGTAACAACACTGAACTACTTATTTAAAAAAAGGGGATGAAAATGTGATATAGGCCCTTTAATGTGATTCTGGCCCCTTAAACACAAAACACAAAAAAAATATATACTTGTGGTAGAAATAACATAGTAAAACTAAAAATTCACATATAAAATAAACTGTAGAAGAAGAAATAAAAGGTTGTTTACAGAAACTAACAGCGAATAATAACAAATAACAGCTCATTATTGTGCAATCCAACATCTTAATCTCTTTAACAAGAAGCTGGACCTGTATCTTTCAGTCTGTACAGCAATCTTCTGTGTTTGGACAATTTATAACAGTATTTCAGCATTTTTACAGTGTGACGCCCACAGGCTTCAGAGGGGCTTTTTGAAACTCTACCTAAATACTGGAGTACACACTGTTAGAAACAAAGGTTCTGTGCAGATACATTCCTCGTTCATCAAGTTACAAACAATGTAAGTCACTGTTGTGGGAAGAAAACCTCATATCTCCAAAATGGTAACTTTACAGGAGAAGGAAAAAGCCTACTTTACTTTTAATGTAAGTCAATGGAACCAGACTTTTTTCCAAGTAATTTCGGGTCATTTCTTTTGGTCCATTCATCATGAAATTTACACACAATATAAAGGGCAATAGGTTTTTTCAAACTGTGTCAAAAACTGAAAAACAACTCAAAGGTACAACAGTGGTTTTAAGGTCTTTAAGGTATTTGTACCTTTTCATAACCGAATGTTTTAAAACAGAACACTAAAATAAAAGCCTGGAGACGAGACGGGGTGTGTGGAGTCAGTACAGCTTAGAGAATATCATTTCAGTGGATTATGGTTCAGTTATGTTCCCTGACTAAAGGTACTGAGATGTACCTTTGAGGCTCCCACCCCAGTGACAAGAGGGGCACTGCCCCAGTGACAGTTTAGTACCTTTATTTCTGAATGTGCATCATTATAGAAATAACAGTCAGCTCAGTAGAAGTGAAGTTTGAATAACAGTAAAATGCTGCATTACTACATGAGCTGCATTAAAGGAGCATTCCAGTGTTTTCCATACAGTCCATATATGGAAACTAAGCTGAAAAACAGCCGGTTTCATTTTAGGGAATAAAGAGAGGTGAAAAAATGATGAAATGACACAAACATCATTTTCACGTCAGTATGCTAATTTAACGTCAACAGTTCAGCATTTACACCCACAGAGCCAGATCAAACCTTAAAGTGTTGAATCTTATCAACATTTCATTGTTTTTAAAGGGCCAATATTCTACATTTTTCTTACATTTTATTTTTTTTTCACCTGAAGTCTGCTTAATAATATTTGTTTTGGTTTATGTATGAAAAATAGCCATAAATCATCTTAATGTGACCATTTTATGTCTTAGCTTTGTGTTTTACAACTAAATAGGCTGTTCCTTATAGGCTGATTTATGCAAATGAGCTATATTGTGATTGGCTGTCCTATATTGTGCCTCATTCAAAAAGTCCAGGCTGAAACACTCTTTATAACTTCAGTGTGAATGGGTGGGGCTGAGCTGTTTATGTTGGCTAGGTTGATGTGCGTATATGTGTTAAGTTGTTATGACATCACAAAAACACTGAATTCAAAACAGGCTGTTTTCCATAATATGGGCCCTTTAAATGAACCTGTCTTAATGCCTGATACCATTGCTGTGAGGATATTATTGCATTCAGCCACAAGAGCATTAGTGAGGTCAGGTACTGATGTTGGAGGGTCAGTTCTGGATCACTCCAAATCATTCCAAAAGTATTGGATGGAGCTCCATCACTCCAGAATACACAGTTCCACTGCTCCACAACCCAATGCTGGGGGGCTTTATACCCCTCTAGCTGAAAGGCATTGAACATGGTGACCTTGGCTAATGTGCTGCTGCTCCAGAGCATCTCATTCCTTTGGTCGGTGCTTTTCTGTGGAGATTATATAATAATCTAGGCTACTGAATACCTGTATCAGAAACTGGTGGACCATTAGAAGGGCTGTATGGATACTTTTGAACATGGTGGCTCTACCCCCCAGTCTGAAATGTTCCCTGAAGGGCCAGCTGGTTCATACAGACCCCTCAGTGTGCTGCACATGGTTACACTGAGGCTGTAGCTGTTAATTGTACGGGTCAAGGTCATGGAAATTGCCTGGTGTAAAATTTGCTTACGGCGCTGCTTTGCTCGACAGTGGCGGACGGGGCTGAAATGAATCCACTCCAGGATTCATCCATCTTCCTGAGCAAAGGACCACCGTTTAGACAGTGAAAGCATCGGCGTCCCTCAATTTCAAGCCAAATCGCTATTGGAGACTTGGCACTGCAGTGTACTTTGCTAGATTAGACTCACCGTGCTCACACAGCCGTTTTCTAGCTTAACTTGCATTTACAAACAGCTTACTCTCCCACAGAGCTTCGCATGTGGTTTTAGTTTCCCCTTTTTAAGTAGTACGTTTTCATGATTTATCACAATGAGGAAGATACCAGATCAATCACAGAGCTGTTTATTGAGTAACTTCTCTCAGCAGAGGCGCTCAGTGAAGACTCTGATTGTATAAGATGCCCTTTAATGTTTACAGACAGCAGATCATGTGAGTGTTTACTGCCACCTAGTGATCATGTTGATGGGGTAAAGTTTGAGGAATTCATTCAGGATGTTTATCAGCAGTTGGGCTGTAGTCTCTAAACTGTACCACCAGCCAGGTGGAGCTGCATGGGAGTCTTTAATAACAGGGGTCTATAATCTGTGTGATGAATATTCAGTGTTTTAATAACACATCCCCTGGCCACTTTATCAGAAACACCTCCCACAGTTTGTGTTAGGCATCCTCTAGCCCAGGGGTGCACAAACTTTTTGTCTCGAGGGGGAGCAAAGTGAGTGGGACAGAAATTATTTAATAATCTTCAAATAAAAAGGTTAGTAAGGTTAAAATGTGTTTTATAAAAGGCATTTTATAAAACTACAATACATTTTATTACTAAATTACTTCAAAAAGAAGAAGCAGAATGAATTAAAATGTTATGTAGTATATAAATATGTTTGCTCTCTTACTGCATGAAGGGGAGTCATTTTTAGGCTTATTTTTACTTTTTTATTATTGATGTTACTGCTGTTATTTTTAATGGTTTTTATTATTTCGTTTTTTTTTTAAATGTATTTTCTACTTCCTCTTTTATTGCTTTTTTACTTTTATTATTATAACTCTTGGTATTGCTTATTTTTATTTTTTTATAAAGCACTTTGAGCTGCCACCAGCATGAAAAGTACTGTGTAAATTAAACCTATTATTATTATTATTATTATTATTATTATTATTATTGCTTTTTTTCTATTACTACTATTATTGCATTTACTACTATTACCATTTGTCAATTTTTTTATTATTACCATCATTGTCATTTTTATTATTATTATTGCTTACTTTGTTTTCTATTGTTAGTTTTGATTACTACTATATTTTAATTCTATTATTATCATCATCATTATTATTATTTTATTTTTCATTACAGTTATTATTGCTATTTACTTTTTTAAACTTAAGTATTTATTAATTATTTCTAATATTGTTGTTGCTACTTAATGCTTATTTCATTTTCTACCAATACTATAATTGATATTAAGTTTTACATTAGTACAATTGCTTATTTTATTTTTTCATATTATTTTATAATTTATAGTATTTTTTTTTACTCTTGCTGCTTTCATGTTTGCCTGATCTTATTTAAATGTGTACATTATCTACACTTATGTAACCCTCTGTGAAGCACTTTGTTTATTTATTTATTTATTTGTTATGATAATGGAAGAAAAATATCTTTTGATATTTCATTGATGACTGTTTTCAAAAATGTAAGAAAGCAGAAATGATGTCCACATCATTTAAGCACACTTTTGTTCATTATTTATTTATAAAGACTGTTTCGTGTGTTGGGCCTAAGAGCCTCTCTTCTGTCCCCAAGGCCCGTGGACAGAAGATAGATTCCTCTAGTGTGTTCTAATACTATTACCTTAAGAGCTAACTGCAGTGTAACTTCTTCTAACAAAATAAGAAAAATGTCTAAGTGTAAAAGAGCAAAGTAAAATAAGAGTCTTCAGTCGCTGAGTTCTTGTGGAAGGAAGGAAAAGGCCTTCTTCTTTATTGAGCTTGAATGGCAAGATGGTTCCCAGACAACCACAATGCAAAGATCATTGCAAAACACCCATTTTTACATCCTGTTTAGGGTGATGAAGTAATCACCCCTCCCTTTCTATAACATTCTATGCCATCTTAGTTTCCATCATTTCCAAACCTTACACTTTTCCTTGGGAACCCTCATTTCCAAACGTATATAATAGATGTTTTTTAAAAATACCTTATCTTAGCTCTACCAGGATGTTCCACTCTCCAAGGGCGTTAGCTTTGACTGGTCTTACTGTAAATTCACCTAGTCCAGAGACTAGTTCTTATCATCTCAAGGACAGCTCTTCCTTTTCACACAGCAGATTCTCACAAGCTTCTGGAGGCCTCTTTGTTAAAAGGGCACTCCGGTGTCCAAGTTTCCAGGCAAGCTGAGGCCTATCTTACAGTGTGAAGATTACTATTCGTTTGGTTAATAAACACAACTTGTTAGAACTGTCAAAGATAAAGATTATTTATTCAAACCATCCGACACGTGTTTAAAGATTGTGTTTCCACTGCATATGAGTAATCATTGATTTGTCATTGATCCCTGAGCATTTCTTAATCTGAGAAGAATTGGCTCATAGTAAATAAATAAAAATATATCGTCGCTGTCCAAAGAAAACCACGTATTTCCATTTTAGTCGATTTTTTGTTTTCTACATCATTTCAACACACCAGTTGTCCTTCACGTTGTACAGATGTTTCATGATGAATGGACCAATAGAAATGCTCTAAAATCTCTCGGAACAAAATCTCTTTTACATTGACTTACATTGAAAGGTAAGAGTGTTTTTGCCCTCTCCTGTAAAGTTACTATTTTGGAGATACTTGTTTTTCTTTGGACAGCGATGACATGTTAATGTAATTTAATTAGTGATAAAGTTGTTTGTCTTGTGTGAGGAGAGGTTTTTGTCCATATACAGATTCAAAAAAATATATTACATAATATATTTGCAACATTGCAAGCAGACTTTGTATATTTCAGCACTTCTGTTTTGAACTGAATGCCATCCCAGTCTGTTAGTGCTGGAACCCAGAACTTTTCTTTGTCTTTGGTTTCTTGGCAAACAGGCCTCCATGCAGAGATATAAGAAATGACGCTCAGCTCAGAGACAATGCAGAAACTCTTTTGGAATTCATCTGATGTTAGAAAACTGCCAGGGCTTCGACGTGCGTCGCCCTGCCTTCGTTACAGTGCAGGGGGGGCTGAGATGAGAGGGTTGGAGAGCAGCGCCATCTTGATCACTCTGAACAGCTTTTCTTCCTCATCCCTTTCATGTTCACAAAATCTGAGTGAATGTGAGGAAGCGAGATGAATAAACAGATTTATGACAGTGACCACCGCGAATTCTCTTTGAAGCTCAGTTTGAGATGCAGAGAGGATGAAGTTCAGTGTTACTTTGGGGCAGATCACAGTACAGTAAGCTGGAACCTGTGGCGGGCAAAAGGATCTTGTGAATTCATAATTAATAGCCTGGGGGATTGTAGTTGGGGGACGGTCTATATCAGCATTACGTAAGCTCTTAAGTTGTGTGGAGAATAGAAATGAGGAGAGAGAGAGTTACAGAGAGGCAGAATACTTTGAAAAAATAGTGATGGCTGAAAACTGAGTACACATATTTCATACAATATACACCAATCAGGTGTAACATTATGACCACCTCCTTGTTTCTACGCTCATTGTCCATTTTATCAGCTCCACTTACTATATAGGTGCACTTTGTAGTTCTACAGTTACAGACTGTAGTCCATCTGTTTCTCTGCATACTTTGTTAGCCCCCTTTTACCCTGTTCTTCAGTGGTCAGGACCCCCATGGACCCTCACAGAGCAGGTACTATTTGGGTGGTGGATCATTCTCAGCACTGCAGTAACACTGACGTGGTGGTGGTGTGTTAGTGTGTGTTGCGCTGGTCTGAGTGGATCAGACACAGCAGTGCTGCTGGAGTTTTGAACACTGTGTCCACTCACTGTCCACTCTATTAGACACTCCTACCTTGTCAGTCCACCTTGTAGATGTGAAGTCAGAGACGATAGCTCATCTGCTGCTGCACAGTTTGTGTTGGTCATCCTCTAGTTCTTCATCAGCGGTCACAGGACGCTGCCCACAGGACGCTGTTGGCTGGATAGTTTTGCTTGGTGGACTATTCTCAGTCCAGCAGTGACATTGAGTGGTGTTTAAAAACTCCAGCAGCACTGCTGCTCCAATAAACCCACTGCCGTCTCATGAACTAATCAAACAATTTGTCATGTCATAAAAACAAAATGCAAAGTTTAGTAATGCTGAGATTGATAACTGATCATCACATTGATTTATCAGTCTACTCAGTCTTTAGCGGAGCTCAGTTATACTGAGATTAATAACTGATCACATTGATTTATCAGTCTACTCAGGCTTTAGCAGAGCTCAGTAACACTGAGATTAATAACTGATCATCACATTGATTTATCAGTCTACTCAGGCTTTAGCAGAGCTCAGTAACACTGAGATTAATAACTGATCATCACATTGATTTATCAGTCTACTCAGGCTTTAGCAGAGCTCAGTAACACTGAGATTAATAACTGATCATCACATTGATTTATCAGTCTACTCAGGCTTTAGCAGAGCTCAGTAAGGCTCAGTTGTTAGGCTGTTCCTATGGCACCCAGTGGGTTGTTAAGGTGCTGCTAGGCCATAGCTATGGTATCCCAGGTGGTTGCTAAGGTGTTGCTTGGCCATTGATACATTATCCCAGGCGGTTGCTAAGGTCTTGGTATGTCATTGCTATGATATTGAAGGTGTGTGTGTATACATGTGCTAGTATGTATCTAGTATATGAGGGTCAGTGTGAGAGATTATTTATGACAGTTAAATTAGGTTTTTCTGTTCGTGTTTGAACAAATGCTGTACAAAAACTGTACATGTGAACAGTCCCGGAAGCACGAGTACACTATTCCCACATAGGCTCTAGGATCCTGCAAAGTTTTGTGGTTGGATCTCCAAAACTCATATATATATATATATATATATATATATATATGTATATATATATATATATATGTGTGTATATATATATATATATATATATATATATATATATATATATATATATATAATAGTACAAGAAAGCATAGAAAGATAAAACAATGAATATTATGTTGGCTTTGTTAATTCAACTTAATAAAATAATGTTTCATTCACTTTCAGTTTTTAAAGAAATCCGCTGGGATATTTTTCCACACCTCCAAAGTTCAGTCTTTGAAGTTGGTTGCATTTTGTGCTTCTCACCATCCAAATAATCCCAAACACATTCACTGATGTTCAGGTCAGGACTCTGAAGTGGTCAGTCCATTATTCTGAGAACACCAGCAGCTTCTTTGTTTGATTTGCAAACGTTCTTCTCTTTTTTGTCTGTTTCCTTTTCTTAGTGATGACCTTCGACAGTTACGTATCTTTCAGACCCATAGTGTTCGATTCGGATTGTTCAGATCTGAAACAAGAGTGGAGCTTGGTGGTCTACCGGGTCTTGCAGGTGGTTGTTAGGAGTCCCATTTTTTCTCTAAGACTAATCTCTTTGCACAGTATTGGACATTGTAGGTCCACTATGTACGGATACAATTAAAGACTGTAGCCCATCTGTTGCTGCACAGTTTATTGGCCACCTCTGTGCCATTTATCATTGGTTAGCTTCTGACCACAAGATGGCTGTTCTCTAGGGAGGTGTTTCTAATAAAGTGGCCAGTGAGATAATAAGCCTAAAGACTGTAGAAAATTATGCAAATTTCCTAAACTCTCAATATCTTCTACTGTAGTTGATATGATCCCAAATATCTCTTTCAGTTCAAACCAGAAAAATGTAAAACCACAAACCTCATTCTCCCCAGGAGTCAATTTTGTGGCCAATTCTGGCGACGATGTCTTGGGTGTGTGACTAGAACCTTCCAGCAGCTCATCTGATAGCGTTTGGGTGAATTGTTCTCTGATTGATTTATGTACTGTATGTTTGGGGGTAAACACAGGCATGCCTGAATCGGTCCTGCCAAGCAGAGGGAATAAATAGCGAAGCAGTTCTGTTTGTATACAGTGCTCATCATGTTTGGATCTGTGCTGCTTGGGCTGATGGTGATTCCCCTCGTTTGGGGTCAGCCGTACCCCATCCCACCAACCTGCTACAGTAAAGTGCTGGACATGGGCAGAGAGATTTCTCAGAGGGCAATGGAGATCAAGAGAGACTACGACACAGTAAGTCTCAGGCTGAAACAGGCATAGTGAAAGGGGATGGGACTCAGAATTACAATCACTTATTAAAACAATAAGCCACTTAAGGGCAAGTCATTACAGTGATTTCACAAGAGTTAAGGGGTGTTATTAGATACAACCTGAAGCAAAGTAAAAACACTGGAACAAACAGCGACAAAATACAGTGATAAAATTGACCAATGTTTAATACATAATTATAGTTATGAAAGGGAAAGTACACCGATTCTTCAAAATTTCTGCATAATTAAATGGTTAAGATGTAAGGTTTGGTGTGAAATGTTCTGTTCTAGAAAAACTTACTGAGCCACTTGTTCACAGTGGTGGTGATAGGAACCAGAACCAGACGTCGAGAGCACCACCATATCAAATCATATCATATCATATTGAACCAAATTATGAATTTTGTGAATTGATACACCCTTATTAATTATGTGTCAGGGACTGGAATTTGTTTTGAGACTTACCGTATTTACAGGAGAAACACTGAGCACACTAATCTTCTGTCTTTCAGGTGAGATGTACTGCACACTTGCCTTATCTGTATATTGACATGCATGTAAGTACTGCCACTGTATTCTTTTTCCCAATTTCTTAATAAATTTGAATATTATTTGAATATAATTTATTGAATATAATTTATTCTACAATTTTACCATGTGTATAATATCAGGCATAACATTATGACCACCTCCTTGTTTCTATGGTCATGGTCGTTTTATCAGCTCCACTTACTATATAGGTGCACTTTGTAGTTCTACAGTTACAGACTGTAGTCCATCTGTTTCCCTGCATACTTTGTTAGCCCCCTTTTACCCTGTTCTTCAGTGGTCAGGACCCCCATGGACCCTCACAGAGCAGGTACTATTTGGGTGGTGGATCATTCTCAGCACTGCAGTGGTGTGTTAGTGTGTGTTGTGCTGGTCTGAGTGGATCAGACACAGCAGTGCTGCGGTGTATGTACATTGTGTGTGTGTATACATCAACATGTATGGATGTTGACCTTCTCACAGTGGAAGGATGGACAGAAACACCTGTGGATGTTTTCAGATCTGAAGCAGCTTGATTTTCCCCTCTCTCTCAAAGACTGAAGCTTTAAGTGCTGTTTATTTTGTCATTCTTTTGTGATAAATGTGATGCAATGGAAATACCACTCAATTGTTTAGGCCACGAAAAGTGCCATAGCTGTGTGATGTGTCAGTAATTACTTATTATGTCATGTGACATTGTACGCCTGTTTAAGGAAACTGTGAAATACTGATGTGCATGATGTGAGGTGCTCACTGTAAATGTTTCATTTTCTCAAACCTGGTCTGCTTGGACAGAACGCGTGTGTGATGTCCACTTTGGGCTCATATATGTCCATGCTGAACGGCCTGAGGGACAGACGCTGTGGCTACACCAGAAAAGTGCAGGAGCTGAGGTCCAAGATCAATCAGCTTCACATCATCACAACACAGAAGTGTCACGGGGTAGGACTGATATTTATGAATGTAACACATTAATAGTATTGTACTCTGCTCCTTTAGATTGAAATAAAAATAAACTACATGCAGTATAAGTCAAACAAGATTTATATGCTGAAGAATATGTACAATACAGTGTGACACACACTGTATACAGTATATACAAAGGTTTGAACACCGTATGTGAAATGACCTGTTGTGTTGATTTTCTGAGCATGAATAAGTTAATACGCCCCCACACAGAGAACACACTTAAATATGATATTTTTTTCCCAACAAACAATTTCTATTTGTTTGTTGAGTTTAACATATTGGGGAAAAAATGAATCATAAAATATAAAATTTGCCATAACTTTTGCACAGGTCACATTTTATGTTTTATCTCTTTCCCCATTATGTTAATTTCATCAAATAAACAGTGATGTGTATATATACAAACATGAGTACATGCAAAATAAAAATCATATAGGTTTCTGTACAACAATGTACAAAATATGATTATAAATATAATTAATACATAAACAAAATGCTATAAATATATAGAAGAATATAGAATATGCAAATGAATACAATATGAAATATAAATAATGTATCACTTCTATAATGGGTTTAGAGTTTAAGCGCGTCAGTGTGAACTGTCCTTCAGTGAATCCTCAGCTGCAACCCTGATATAATTACATCTGAGTTAAAGAGGAATTCCACCAATTTTTCAAATTTTTCTGCATAATTCAGTGGTTGAGATGTAAACAGAGTCATTCAGAGTGGTTTGGTGTGAAATGGTTCACTGCAGAGAAACTTACTGACTCAGATGTCTTTACAGTGGTGCTGATAGAAACCAGGGGTCACCATGTCTACAACACAAATATAGACATATTATTTACTATCCAAAACCACCGGTGAACCTACACGAGTCTTCTGGGTTTCTGTATGCAATGTTGATGATGGTGAAATAGTGTCAAATCTGAAAAAATAGTTTTCTTTGGTGATTTTCGCCTCAAAGCGCACTGAATGTAGAAAAGATCAGCTTTTATACAAAGCAATGCAGCGCTGGACCATGACCATGGTCTTCTCCACAGTGGACAGTGGAAACCACACAAATAGTTTGGGCTCATTAGAGATGAACGTCCAAGCCTCAAATATCCAGTGTCTGTTATTTTGGCTCAGATAAGCAGTGCAATCCCTTATTCAGCACTTTAAAGTGATCAAATGTATTACAGTTTTCCTTCTTAGTTCAAATATAGTCAGTTAGGACCGACATGCTTGGTGTCCAAAGTTGGTGTCAAAACATCTTCCCTCAAAGAAAGACAAATCTGATGTTTTAGATGTGACTTTTAGCATTGGCTCAGAACACAGGCCACAAACTATGTTAGATTTTTTTCAAACGTTAAATTCAGCTAAAAAACAGAAATCGTACAATAAAATGTCATAAGTGTGTTCTCTGAAGAACATGTGAAATTATTTTTACAAACAACAATACAGTTCTGAGTTCTGAACGCAATTCACTCTGACCTCACCACGATTTGATATGAAATAACTGTGAAAAACTTGATTTCACGCAATACAAACCTCAAGTCCACAATTCGGGACAGTATGTGAAATGCTAATAAAACAGAAAGCATTATATACTGAATTCTGTTTGACATGTGTTACATTGAAAATGACACAAAAACACAATATTTCTTAATAACCATTTGCGGACTGAAGACACCAATCTTCTGTTGTACGAATCGTCAGCTGTGTAATCATACTGGGCCTTCGCTGTCGTATTTTGCATTTCATAATACGCCACACATTTTCAATGAGAGACAGACAGGCTAGTCCAGTACTCTCTGATTATGCAGCTATGCTGTTGCAATATGTGCACAATGAATTTCTTGGTGTTGTCATGTTGAAATAGACATCGACATCCTGAAAAAGACGATGTCTAAAAGGCAACACATGTTACTCCAAAATGCGTATATATATTTTTCAGCATTAATGGTGCATAGATGTGCAGGTTACTCACTAATACTCCCCCAGACCATAACTGAGCCTTGCTTTTTTACATCTTTACGTTGGTAACAAACTGTATAGTCTTTTTCTTCTTTGGCCCAGAGAACAGGACATCCATCATTTCCATAAACAATCTGAAAGTTTGACTCATCAGACACAAATCAGGTTTCCACTGTGCATCAGTCCATTTCAAACAAGCTTAAGCCCAGAGAAGTCGGCAGTGTTTTTTGAAGCTGTTGACATGTGACTTCCGTTAAGCATAATCCAGTCTCACTCTGCATTTGTAGTAATGGATGGTGTTTATTGATATATGGTTTATCAAAATTCTTATGACATTATAAAAACTTATGACAACCTACGTGTATTTAAATTGCAATTAAGTTATGATTTAATATATATTAAATGCATTTAGTTGTGCTTTTGAATGCCTTTTTCAGAAAATGTTAGTTGCACTTAAGTAGATTTAAGTATATAATTTATAGACACAGTTATATTATAAATACACTACTGGATGTTCAGTGCTACTTATTTAGGTATACTGCAACTAAAATGCACTTAAAAGCAATTTATCAATATCACTAAAACACTTCAATACATTCAACAAATAAAACATAATTAAGTATACATTTAAATATATTATTAGTAATGACTAAAACAGCTTATTTACAATAGATTTAAGTATGCTAAATAGATTGTCTATTCCTACAAGTGCTTTTAAGTTCTAAACATGCGTGTGCAGTAAAGTTAAGCAATTTGCTGCTCTCGGAGAAAAACCTTGTATGGAAATGACCCAAAATTACTTGGAAAAATCTCTGGTTCCATTGACTTACATTAAAAGTAAAGTATGTTTTTTCCCTCTCCTGTAAAGTTACAATTTTGCAGATACAAGGTTTTCTTCTGACAACAGCAAATTGTTAAGACAAATTCTACTACACTTGAAACATATTTTAAATGTGGACTCTTGGCTGTAGTGATACCCATAATTGATTGCTAGTTAGTCACAAAAATGACACTAAAACTGTACTAAAGTATACTTTAAAAGTCATTTTAAATGCACTTCTAAAGAATACACTTAAGTTGATTATGAATAAATATGCTTTTGTGACATATGAAATGATTTTGTTTACGTGTGCTTCAATATGTTAAGAAATACATTTATTCTAGATCATTTCCTTGCTGCATTTAAAAAAAAATGTATTTGTTACTTTAAAGTTAGATTTTTTGAAAAATACAGAAAAATATATTTTAGGATTTCCATAAAATACATGAAATTAAAAAGTGTACATTAAGTGTTCACAATGGACTTTAATTATACTGTTGATGTACTTAAGTAGCTTCTTTTTCATAAAAATGATAAGATAAAATATCAAATTTCTTGTCTTTGTATTGTTTTTGTTTAAATTGAGGTCAAAGTGGATTTACTAATCACTGCTTTCTGTTTTATTTGCATCGTTCCAGCATTTTTTTGGTATTAAGGTTTGTCATTAAGTAATACATTTACAAGTAATACATACTCACAGCAAGAATGGCCTGGGTTCGATTCCCGGCCGGGCAACTAGGGTCATTTCTGTGTGGAGTTTGCATGTTCTCCCCGTGTCTGCGTGGGTTTCCTGTGGGTACTCCGGTTTCCTCCCACAGTCCAAAAACATGCAGTCAGGCTGATTGGACATGCTGAATTACCCCTAGGGGTGAGCGTGTGAATGTGTATGTCTGTCTGTCTGCCCTGTGATGGACTGGCGACCTGTCCAGGGTGTATCCTGCCTTCCTCCCAATGACAGCTGGGATAGGCTCCAGCACCCCACCACGACCCAGAAGGATAAGCGGTTTAGATGATGTATGTATGTATGTATACTATACAGTAATAAAACACACTCTGTGCTTTGAAGCATCTGATTAAATATGGAAAGTAAGATTTATTTCCCTACTGACCCAAAGCAAAATGGAATATACTGCTATATGCTGTTAGCATATTGTGAAACGTAAGTAGAATATTTGTGAATATTTTCTGAATACATTCTGTTTTTGTGTGGCTGTTTTAGGAGCTGGCGTTCACCTACAATGACTGTGCTGTACTGGTGAGCATGAGTGGCTGAGAGGAGCCGGACTGAGCATCATTACGAGACTAATGAAACAAAAACACTGCACAGGAAATAACGCTCTGAGTAACGTACAGTATATCAGCGTATGGGACTGTTATAACTCATCAGTCTTTAGCTTTCACCATATGTGTCTTTCCTAAAGGTCCATTATATTGCTGCTTAGTCTGAATTGTGCAAATGCTTACTGGGCATTCTGACAGTAAAAGGCCTTCTATCAGCTTTTCATTATGCATGCTGTATTTGCACTTTTGTGGAGCATCTTAAGCTACAATTCCATGTAAAATGGTGCTATACAAGTAGTTATTATAATTATAATATTCATTAATATTGTTATTATTACTATTATTCCTAAATAGTTCAACCCATGTCTATGATCAGATGTCCTTGCTCCTTTTTTTTAGAGTATTACTGTTTCATAATATCATTTAATATACATCACAGTGGCTTTTAAATCCTGTTTTGCTCTATTAAATATCATTTAATCAATCGGTCTTCCTCTTTTCACTGTTGGAGTTGCTGTTTTAACCCACTACAACCACTAGGTGGGGATATTGTGCAAGATTGATGCCTAAACTCCATCAGATCAGCAACTTCATCACATTTTCTTGAAGTTTTGCGTTTGATTTTTTTATTATTTATGCTCATTTTTTACTTCTTTCTCATTGTGAAAGTTTATTTCAGCCTAATTTTGCTGTTAAAAGTTGACATATTGTCTTATGCTTGCTTATAATTTGTAATCTTGTATTGAAATTTGGTTTAAACGAGATATCGAGATATTATCTTGATATCCAAAAGCAATAAAAAGGCTAAAACAGTATCAAACTTAACTGAAAATCCCCTAATACCCCAGAGATTTTGAGGCAGGGCTTATGTTATTAAAATTTATTTCAGCCACGTCTCACTTTAAAAGTTGACACCTTGCCTTATATTTGCTAATAATTTGGGTAATCTTGTAATGAAAGTGTGTTTAAATTAGACTGAAGTCACACTGTGATGTGCACTGAATTAGTATCTGCTTATTTAGATAGCCAAAACCCGGTAACAGGCTAAAGCAATTGAAAACTACAAATTCCATAATACCCTCCCGACTGGGAGGCGGGGCTTATGTGAGGCGTGTGTGTCAGTTCTCGAGTTCGATTCAGTTTAGCGACTCAGTTGTCCAGTTGAATGATTCGTTTTTGTTCCTGGCTGGTTGGGGCGTAATGATTCATCACATGTTCACTCGTATAAACAGTAATTGGTGAAGTCAGCTTTATTCACATCGCTGTAATTATCAGTGAAGTCCAATTTGTGCTCATCTTCTGAAGGTTTAGTGAAGTCAGCTATATGGCTTTTGGCTCAGTGAGTGAGTCTCTTATCTGCTACTTCTGTGTTACAACGTGGCAGTTTATGATTTTACGAGGTAAATTGGGAATGATAAGTATTTGATTAGTCGAATAATTATTCAGTTTTTTTATTGAAAGCAAAACATAGCACACAATATAAGATGCATATAAAAATATGTATATAACAGTGTACACATAGCCTTACATACATTTGCTAGGGCTATATACATAACTACACATAAACAATGAAGTACATACATGCTTTAACAGCTTGTATGTTTTAAGGGCTAAATTCGATATAATGGTCTCCTTTTCAGAAATTAGACTTTTGCATGAGAATTTACACTTGCAAATATAAAACTTAGCCAATAAAAGTAGATTTCTTATATACAGGCCTACGTTTGTGTTTCCACAATAAACAATATTTGAATATTATCAATATTATGAACAATATTATCTATTATAGCACTGAGATTTTGCCAAAATTTATCCTGCAAAAAAATGGTTCTTCAAGGGTTCTTTCATTAAAGGGGATTTCCACTGATTATTTCAAAATTTCTGCATAATTCAGTGGTTGAGGTGTAAACAGAGTCATTCAGAGTGGTTTGGTGTGAAATGGTTCCTCAAAAAAAAACTTACTGACTCTGATTTCTTTACAGTGGTGGTGATAGGAACCAGGGGTCACCATGTCTACAACACATATATAGCCATTTTATTTACTACCCAAATCCACCAGTGAGTTTTTATATGTAAGGTTTATATATGTAATATATATAATGTGATACATGTAATGTGGTTAATCTGAAAAAAAAAAGTTTTCTCTGGGAACTATTTTGCCTTAGAACACCCTTCGTGTATCCCTCCACCAAGAACATATTAAAATAAATTGATTAAAATATGCTTTAGACCAACACTTTACCACAAAACTACTGTAAAACAACGTCTCAGACGTCAGGCTGAGTATTTAGAACCATTTAAAGTAATAACTTCCTGTGTGGGAGCTTTTGGATATATTAAATGCTTCAGACGTCTGGTTCCTTTCACCACCACTGTGAACAATTCTGACTCGGTAACGTTCTCCAGAATGGAACATTTCACACCAAACCACTCTGAATGATGTTGTTTACATCTTAACCATTTAATTATGCAGGAATTTTGAAAAATCAGTGGAGTCGCCCTTTAAGACAATGGTTCTGTTTAGAACCATGAGTTTTATATAGAATTATTTGCATGCTTAAATGGTTCTTTTGGTGGTTCTTCAGATTGATGGAGAATGTGTTTGTACGGTTCTATGTAGAACCTTTTGAAAAGAGTTCTATTTTTAGCACCAAAAAGGGTTCTTCTATTGCAAGCTTGACATCGTCACAGTAGCAGAACCCTTTTTGGTGCTACATAGAACTGTTTTCAAAAAGGCTCTATGTAGAACCATATTCAACAAATTCTCCATGAACCTAAAGAACCATTTCACCATGCACGTACCTTTCAAGCATGCAGATGGTTCTGTGTAGAACTCATAGTCACAAATAGAACCATTGTCTTTAATAAAGAACCCTTGAAGAACCATCTTTTTAAGAGTATAGCCTATAGAACAGACATAAGTTACGTAGAAGCTACAAAGGTTCGATTCAGTTGAACTTGTGAATCGGTTCGTCAGATTCATTGACAAGAACCCGTTCAAAAGAATCGGTTCGTTGACGAGTCGAGTCCCACACCGCTGCACTTTGAGTTTGTGAGCGCTGAGGCTGCAGGTGGGCGCTGCACTGTCCACGTGAAAGGCGAGATGGTGGCGTTCAGCGCCTGTTTTCTAGTTTGTACGGCTTTTGAGGTTTTATTATTTTAGTTTTCTCTCTGTTTTAAGCGGCGACGATGGACTAGTGGACAGTTTGGAAGACGTTTGTGCTTTTGGAGTGAACTTACATCCAGCCTAACTCACTCTGAGTGCTCTGAGAGCTTTGAGAGACTTTTAATCGTGTAGTCTTTGGCTTTAGGCAGTATGTCTTCGATATTTGGCAAAATTTTTCGGCTCCCGACTCTTGACAAGAAGAAGGTGAAGCAGTACGAGCATGTCCACCGGAATGTGAACCCCAACGATCTGTGGGAGATTATTGGGGAACTGGGCGACGGAGCGTTTGGGAAGGTTTATAAGGTGAGTTCCTTCAGCTCCACACCTTTCACACCCTTTACCTTCACAGCAGAACCTGTCCAGCTGCTGCTGTGGTTAGTCTGTCAGGCTCTACTGTGAGACTGTCATGTTGAAAAAAGTCATTAAAAAGCATGAAAAGTTTGTGTTTGTTCCTAGTGGTGTCCAGTGGTCACTAATTGTATTCTGTGTTTCTCTGATGGGTTGATATCACAGTATAAAGGGGTCCAATGCTTCAACAGGTGTTCTGGGACTGATGGTTTCTTAATGTGATCTAAAACTGTCCTAAACTAGTGGTGACCGTTAATCCAAATCCAAGTAGAAAGCAAAGCCATCTGAATCTAATGCCAATTGGTCCAATGGTCTTTTTTCAGTAGGGTGGTCTTTTTCAGACTCAGCCTAGATGGAGCCTTTGATAAAGTTGATATATTTAATATATTTATGACTGGTCAGGCACTGAAGTCTGGTTGGTTTTCATTGGTTCACCCCCTAGTTGGACACACACTCGCACCAGAACCAGTCCGGTTAGCTTTCGTGTTTGGTTTGTCAGGCACTGCAGGTTGGTTTTCACCAGTAAATGGACTGACTGAGTCAAATATCTCAATCTAAGCCTAGATGGAGCTTTTTGTAAAGTCTACAGTTTATGACCCTCGCTCAGACTTTAACACCACATCTAATCCATCAACGCTTGATAACTGCACTGCACTTCACTGTGATGTTATTTTCTCCACTGGACTGATTGAGATGTGCCAGATATCTCCAGTTTAGCTCAGAGGGCCCAGAGGGAGCGTTTCCTAAAGTTGATCGTTTATAAGGCCAGTACACCCTCAGTGTGGTGAACTCACACCAGAACCAGTCCAGTTAGCTTGGGTGTTTGGTTTGTCCAGCACTGCAGCCTGAAACTGCTTGGTTTTTTATCAGTGGATGGACTAATTGAGTCAAATATCTCAAGCCTAGATGGAACTTTTTTTTTTAAAGTTTACAGTTTATGAAACTCGCACGCCCCCAGTGGGGGAGACTTTAACACCATATCCACTCCATCAACCCTTGATAACTGCACTGCACTTCACTGTGATGTTACTTTCTCCATTGAGATGTGTTGAATATCTCCAATTTAGCCCAGAGGGCCCAGATGGAGCATTTCCTAAAGTTGATAGTTTATAAGGCCAGTACACCCTCAGTGAGGTGAACTCCCACCAGAACCAGTCCAGTTAGCTTTGTTTTTGGGTTTGTCAGACAGTCTGGAAATGGGTAGCTTTCTTCATTAGATTGCTTGAGATGTCCCAGATATCTCAGATTTAGCCCAGATGGGGCGTTTCCTAAAGTTAAAGTCCAGTTCAACCTGGGTGAAAGAGACTCCATAAGCAGGAACCAGTCCAGCTCTTGGTTTTCGGTTTGTAAGGCACTACAGTCTCTGGTTTTTGTGATTGGATTGATTGAAATGTGTCCAATATCTAACCCTGCCCTTTTGGTGAGCTTTATTATAAAGCCACACCGAGTGAGAGAGACTCTCGCACCAGATCCGGTCTGGCCGCCTTTGTTTTTTGCTATGTCAGGTAGTACAGTCAGAAACTGGCTGGTTTTCAACTTTGGATTGATCACGATGTGTCAAATAATGTTATCTCCGACTCAGACTAGATGGAGCCTTTGGTCAAGTTTAAAGCTGATATATTTATAGTTGGCCAGGCACTGAAGTCTGGTTGGTTTTCATCAGTTCATCCTCAGTGAGACAGACTCTCACCCCTCCAGGTACTACTGTCTGAAACTGGCTGGTTTTCATCTTTGGATTGATCAAAATGTGTCAGAAAACATTATCTCAGACTCTTTTTTTGGCCAAGTTTATAGTTTATAAAGCCTGTTCAGTTCCAGTGAGTAAGACCTTCACATCTTTCACATGGGACTGAATTATTTAGGGAAAATACCACATTGCAGTTTTTCTGACTGATACATAATTGCGGTTTAAATATGATGATTTCATATAAATTAAGCTCCAGGCCTTTTTTCCATCAAGCCGACCAGCACATCCACTTTTTGCGCTTGAGGCTTAGATGCTGAAGGCCAGACTGGCAGTTCACAGGCTCTGTGTTATCAGGCTAACTTTCACCACTTAAAACTTTATACAACTTTAAAAAGATAATAAAGGGGGAAATTATTCAAATTGCAGTTCTTGCGATTCCATTGGATTGATTTAGATGTGTCAGTGAATTGAGAAGTGTCAGATTTGGACTAACTCAGAAGCAAAGTTAGCTGCTTCTTGCCCAGAAGCTCCATAGTCATGTAAGCAGATTTGCTTCTGCAGTCTGAGATATTTGACTGAGGTGATGTGGGTTATGTTTTCTGTCTCAATGCTGAGTGCAATGAGACTCTGCAGTACCTGAACTCTTCCTGCTGCTCGCTAATGTATGCATCCAACAGTGTTTTCCAGCCCCTACACTTGAGTTTAGTTTTAGTATTTCTCCTGTTCCAACACACCTGAGCCACTCATGAGGTTAAAGTGAGGGAGATGGACTAAATTGTGCAGACCGAGTGGGATTTAGGAGGAAGATTGGGAAAATCTGGTACAACCTGTGTGGGCTTTTAAACCTCTTCAGTTTTAGGAAACTGAGGGTGATTCTTGATTCTTAATTTAACAATTAAGGCCAAATTATGTATAATGTTGATCTTTGAAGTAAAAAGAAGTAAAGCTCTGCAGCATGCAACATTCCACAGCTACTGTCTCCTCTAAGCAGCTGAATGAGGATCTGAAAATGAGGCTAACTGATGCCTACAAAGCAGTTTAAGGCTATAAAAAGATGGCAAAGTCCTTTCAGTGCAAAATTTCCACTGTCCCAAATGACATTCAGAAATGGCTGTTAAGAGGAACTGTGGAAGTCATGGCAAAATCTGGAAAACCAAGATAACACCTAGATTGAACCGTCATTCGTCATATGTTTTCCAGAAAGGCAAAGCAAAACCCCCATATGACAGCAAAGGTTTAGCTGACGCAGGAGTGGTGGTGTACTGGTCCACTGTATTAAAAATTCACACAAATTCAACCAACCCTCACAATTTAAGACCTCAGTTTTGTCCAGTCACCAAATAATTTGTGGTTATTGTGCTAGAATATGTAGAAGTAAATGTAATATTTCTTCATAACGTTGATCTAGGTAATACAAGTTCCAGTTTCTACACTTGACATTGGCATCAGCACTGGATGCAAAATATTGGATATTGGCATCCACCCACAATTTCTATATTGGTGCATTCTGACTCAACTGCTCATCTACTAAATCCCTTTTTGAGCTTCAACTGGATGTTGTGGCTCAGGAAAACACTGAAGGACAGAGAAACACTGGTGTGAAATGATTGTGCGTGTGCTTTAATTCAGCTTGTGCTGCTGTTCTCGTTATTCAAGTAGGTCTGAAAAGTGAGACATGATGTGGTGTACGTGGCAGAACTTTTAGGAGGTCCCTCTATTATAACCCTAATGAACTTTCATGTTGTTTAACTTTAATTAAAAGCTTTACTTCAGTGAAAAATTGAATTCAGATGTTTTTTCTCCTTAACTGTAAATGTCCCAGCTCAGCCAGGACGGGCGATATCTGAAGTTTTGTTCTTTAATTTTGCGCTGGAGCAACAAAGCTAATGCAGTCAAAGGGGAATTCCACCAGTGTCTCAAAATATCTGCATACTTCAGTGAGGTGTAAACCAAGTCATTCAGAGAGGTTTGGTGTGAAATGGTTCTTTGTAAAGAAACCTTCTGACACATTTCTTTACAGTGGGGGTGAGGGGAACCAGGGGTCATGATGTCTACAACACAAATATAGCCAGTTTATTTATGGTCCAAAACCACCAGTGAGCCTACACATGTCTTCTGAGTTGATATGTTGATATGTTGATAAGCATCTCTAAACGATTGAATTATGCAGAAGTGTTTGATAATCAGTGGAATTACCCTTTAACATGTAATGGAAACCTCTATCGTACCAGTTAGCATTGTGAAAGCTGCGTACCTAAATCCCACACACTTGCCTCAGACCACACTAAGTTGACCTGATAGACTTGCCTGTGTTTTCAGACACTGCATGACATACTGTTAGCTTTATAGATTATCTATGTGTTTTTAATACAGAACAAATGAACACGTACATCTGTCAATAGAGTACTAAGCTGACATATAATACACTTTCTCAGAAAACTTGTTTATTTTGCTAAGAAATGTGGCATTAATCATAATTTGGCATTGATATTTCTTGTGTTTGTGCCACTGTCAACGAGAATAATGTGAAACATGGCAGATGATATGAACTAAAGATTCAATTATTTTTTGTTCATTTCTTCATTTATCCATTAGTTTCCTTTTGTTAACATACAGATCATTAGATATCAGGCTGAGGCCCTGACCTCATTGTATCGATTTACCATTCACATCAGGCAGACTGTGCAGGGGATATTACACTGAGCTGCAGAATGCTTATTATAGGCTACTATTCTAGTGTGAAAATCCTTGAGTTATAGTCCGATGGTCATACAGAAGGCCTGGTTTCTCCACCCTAGCTTCTCCTGAGTGTTACAGTGGGAGGATGTTGGAATCTGCTGTAGCTTCAGTGGGTGGAAGAAGGGACAACTGTATGAACTGAACTGGCTCCCTGTCCCCACTACTGTCACTGTATAGCACTGATTTAGTATCTTAGCCATCACTAAACCAACAACACAAGTTGAATTTGTGTTGTTTTGGCCTTTCTGCTCACATCTGGGTTCATATTTAAAGCATCAGTTACACCGAATGTCGGTGATCTGCCAAGACATGGTGTCTGAGGTTTGCTTCTTTAGTTTTGCACTGAAGCTACGAGGCTAATGTAGCCAACACGTAATGGAAATGTATACCCCGCCAGTTAGCATTAGCACACTTGCTTCAAACATGCCTCAAATAACTTGCTGTGAACAAAGGTTCTAGCTAAAACAGTAACTATAAGGCTAATGTAGCCAACAAGTAATGGAAATTTATACCCTGCCAGTTAGCATTA